AGAATGTTAGACCGTAATGGTCGTGGTCCTCTCAACCATGTATCAGGGAAAAAGTCTTACAACAGATGGTTAGTTATTTCAGAACATTAAATTTGAATTGTTATGTTAAATTTGATGGTCTTTGTCATCACCTTAATATTGATTTAACATTTCAAGAAGTGGAATTAGGAAGACCTCCAACTATTGATCTTTATCAGGACTCATACCAAAAAGGATGGAACATCTGTTGATCAAAAAGCTCAAGAAGTTCATGAGGCATATAAGAAGAACAAGGAAGCCAAGTTGGCTGCACTCGAGAATGATGAGGCTTCTAACGGTACTTTACGAAGATAAGAGCTATCTCAAGAGGAGGATGACGAGGTCTTTCTTCAGGTAATGTTTGCTTTTTCCTAAAAATTGTTAAAAGATAGATTTTTGATATTGTATGTTGCGAGTAGCTTTCTGATATTGTAACTTTTGTTTATGCAGTCTGCTGTCACAAATAATATAGGAGTATACTTTGGAGTTGGAAGCGAAAGAACACGGGAAGCACTTCTTCTTTCACAACAAGCATGCATCAACAGCTTGAGGAAGCTATTATGTAAACAAGTACAAACTACTGGATTTGTCTAATGACAAATTGATTGTTGCTGAGTGTCGTTGGCTGACACAAGAAGAAAGTGCATTAGTTAATGGTCTTCCTCTTGGACCAAAGGCAGTAAAGGTATTTGTGGATTCAGTACATCAATCATATACATTTATATGGAGGCCTACAATAGATACTACATACCTTGAAGACGTCTGATGGCTTTTGTATCCTGGCCTGTCAATAAAGTTGTTTTTGAACCCTCATCTGCAGCTGCTCAGCATTCTGCTTCAATTAATCTAAAATCAGCATCTAAATCTGCCGTAGGTGCAAAATCTCCAACCATAGTTTCCTAATCATCAGCAACTGGCTATAAATCTCCAGGAACATGTTCTGAATCTCCTATTGAGGATGTAGCACGTCCAACCTCTCCAATAAAAAAACAAAATATCAGATTCACAGTCTCCACTTCGGAAATCTCAGGTAAATGTGTACATTTGTTTTGGTAAAAGTTGCTTTTATTGCATCTTCTGACAATTATATTATGTTGCAAACATGGCAGCTTATCAATCAAGTTTGTTCCAAAGAAAATAAGAAGTGTATGTTGATGGACACAAGCGGGAAGAAACATGTTGTTGCTAAAGAATGATGGGCAATAAATGATCCAGACCACAAGTTTCACTTTGTTCCATTGGGTTCTAATGCAGTTAAAGTGTGGATAGATATCATGAAGGTAAGCGAGGCAGAAGTGTGGAGGCCATCAGAGGAAATCGTCATTATTGAAGATGCCCTTGTCACAGTTATAGCATGGCCAGAGGATAAAGTGATAATGGTTTGAGATTTAGTATGTTATGCTTCTTGTTTCTTTTGGATTATCAGTTAAAACTTGTCTTGAGATTTCTCTTGTGTATCATGTTTTCAAACTTGTGTGTACGATGTGTTGGATTTAGTATGAATAATGAATTTTGATGTTTTATTAATCAAGAGAAGAAACCATTAACATTAAAACATTTATAATCACATCTAATAAGGTGCTATAAATAAAAACAGGTGACTAATGTAACATTTCAGAAACGATATGTTATAATCACGTACCGTAGCTTTGAAAATAAGTAGTTACATAACTTTTTAATAAACCACATATAGGCGCTATAAATACTGTATCATAGCATAAAATGAAGCAATAAAAATGTTAAATATATCGTTAAACTATAGCTATTGTAGAATAACATAACATAGCATGAATAGTGACTGATTGCATAATTTTGAAAAATAATAATAACGCAATAACAAAGCGTTTCATTACAGCTATAGTAGAAGCTTAAAACATAGCATTAATATTTCTCGCTATAGTAGGTGAGGTACCTAGAATAACAGGGGCATAAGACAGTACTTATGAAAACGCTATAAATGGCATATTATAACATTTCCCTTGTGATAAGAATGTGGATATTTGTTGTAGTGAGGTTTACTAGCTTCTTCCAAGGGATTGAATTAGATAGTTTATGAAGTTCATTGTGTAGGGATAGCTTGATTGAGTTTGTTAGGCATTCTAATTAAATTAAGAGACTCCACTGAATATATTACCCCATCCTTAAAACCTTTACATTCTGACTGTTTGCTTTTTTTTAATTCTACTTATTGAGTTCTCTTCCTGTTTAGTTCTTCCATGCTAGCTTTTGTTCTCAGTTTTTAGTTTTATATTGCGTTTTGCTTTAGTTCGATTTTCTTAGATTGATAGTTTACACTCTTTATCGATTTTGCTTGACTTCCTTGTTTCTGAATGCATCATGTCTGCTTGCGACTCGCTCATTTTGATTGATAAACCATAAATATTACAATGGTATATGATGGAATACAATTTATGGATTAATAAAAGAATATCATTTTATTACTCAAATATTATGGATTTACCATTTTATTAACGGTTTGGTAGATTTTTCAATTTTGGCTACGAAAATATATACATATAAAATATATTTTTGTATAAAATAAACACTTAATAACCAAAACTACACCTTAATCAAATGGAACAAACGAAAACCAAACATAATTTGTAAACTTTTACATCTTATTATTTTAGAAATGGAAAATTGAAAATATGTAAATCAAAATGGATAAATCGACAAAAGTCATAAATAAAAATAGACCCTTTCATAATTAGGAGTAATATTCTGCTGTAATCTTAAAGTTATTCGTCACCACTACAGGGAGTTTCTCACACGCTTAGCCTTTTTCTAAGTTAATCTCCCCTCCTCCTCGAGCAAGGGTTGGCTGATCAAAATCGAGGTGGACATTGACTCCGGGAAACTCCATCGCTTCCAACCGCTATTGAGCATCGCTATGCGACATTCTTGCCAGAGGCTCTATCTCTTGTCATTCACTATATCCGAGATTTGAGCAGCCTATCAGGTTCTCTACTGGGACAGGAGAAGAGAGACAAACAATAGATTCAAAAGAGTGATTCCTCTCAAAGACAAAACAGGGGCTTAGCGTATTCTTGGAATCTGCAGTTACAAGAATATCTAGTATTGGAAAAGAAGACGCTGGACATTTAAAAATTAGCTTATGAGTTCTCTGACGTATATTTGACAAAGGGAAAACTTATGCCTTAGATTAAATACACATTTTTTTGTGGATTAGTTCCAAATTTAAAGTATTTAGCGATGGATTTAACAAGCATTATTTTGAGTTCTTGGGATTGGGAGACAACGCGTTTTTGTTGGCTACCAATACTTGTTTCTCGGTTTAAGCTTGTGAGTTTCACGGATTTATTGAAAACTCTATTTATTTCACTGAGCAAAGAAAAATCAACGTGTTCAAGCTAGACGATGGTGATGGAAGTAGTATCATGACAATGTTCGAATCTTTTATGAGCCTTGTTGTTTCCAAATGTGTGTTCCTAGTTTTCTATGAATCTTTATGGTCATCCTTGGGATGACTACCGATGCTTATTTCTTGGTTTTGGCTCATGACGGATTTCTCTAGAACTCAGTTTATTTCAAAGATGGCGAGAAATAAAGCAATTCATTTGAGCTAAACAGTGTTAGCATCACAACAATTTCCCAACCTTCTCATAGTTGTTTTCAAATGTTTGTTCCTAATTTTCTCTGAATCTTGTCAAAGCTACTTCCTTCATACACATTAAGAGTGTTTGGTAACATATACATGTCGTCTTTGTAACGCCCATGAACGTTGGGTTGGGGTGTCGATCAATTGCAATTACTTTCATATGTTTGTAGCACTAATCATTATTTTTAATTGTAAGGGTTTGTATCTCTCGATTGCATATTTTAATAGTAAGTTGTTCAAAATAAGTGAGTGAAATATGTGTAAGTTATATCAATGACAACAATTATTAATGTTCGAGACAAAGTATAACCCGTCAATTAAATGGGGTTGCATAGCTTTATGGTAACAACATATCAACATAACATTTACGCTAATGACATGTGAAGATACATTTATTTTTAAAGAACATTTCTCGATTACCATATAAGATATAGTTTAAAATTTTTATTTTTGAATTTATTGTTAACTAATTTAATAAATATTTGTAAATAAATAAATAGTTGTAATAAATCGGTTAATAAAATGAGTAGTAAAGTCGGGGGGTTAATTAAGGCCAAAGTCCAGGGGCAAGCCCGGCCCGGTTCTGAAACCGTTTTTCACTGCTTAATGATTTATATAAATAAAGACCATGAATAGTGACCATAAAAGCGGAGCGTTTTTTGTACCGCACTGCAATAACGCACATATGTTACCATTCAACCGATTTTTTTCTTGTTAGTGTTTTTTGAAATACTTTTTTTTAGAATTATGAAATTAACTAACATATATACGCATGAAATGCATTTGAAAACATAAGTTTTATATACTTAGCGGTCCAAACACATCGCAAACCGAACTTGTTACGCAAATTTATTTTCTCTAAATACCGCAGTTGAACCGTACCGCATATTAGAACCGCTTCTCCGCACAGTCAAATATGTTGTGAACCGATCCAGCCCATTTTCTACTTTTTAAATCATCAATATTAACCCCATAATTAATATCAAACCGATAAATTAAACCAACATGTAATCAACAGTGGAAACAAAACCAATCAATCCAAAACCAATTGATTAACCAAATAAACCAGCAATCATCCAAACATTATCCAATAACCACTTAAACCAGCAATCCTAAACATGCTCCTTATTCCAAGGTTCCAAAACAATAGACTTAAAGCAAGCACAATGGGGCCACTTAATGAGGTTCTTTAGGCTTAATAAGATTTAAAAAATGCATAATCTCAGTAATTAATGAGAACCATCTCCTCTTTAGGAGGTTTTAATTTTTGGAAGAGGCGGTGACGTGGCGAGCGGAGATTGGATGGAGGTAAAAATATAAAACAAAAAAGGGAAAACACAATTATTCTTTCTCTTCTCTCTCTCTCGTTGAAATCGCGATGAACTCTCTCAAAATCGGTCACAGGCGACTGAAATCGTCATCACCGGCGGCTGAGATCTCTATCATCCTTCGGGCTGATGAAATCGGATGAGTGAGAGAAAGTGAGTCGACGTTCTTCTTCACCAAATCTTGGAGTAGACGTCAACAAATCTGGTAAGTTCAATTCGTTCACCAGTTAATTGTTGCATGTTTGACGAATTTAATAGTTTGATTTGATGAAATTTGAGGGTTAATTGATTAAGGTTCATAGATTTGGGAATTTAGGGTTTTCGGATTATTTGGGGATCTTGAATAAATTGTTCAAATTGATAATTTTCGCATATGATTGTAACATTTATGAGTCATATTTGTTAAAAAAAGTGTAGATTTTTGTGATTTTTCTTTTGAATTACTGACATGTTTTGATGAAATTGCTATATGTTTTTGTGAGGTTAAACCGGTGGTACATGGAGTTATATGAATGAATGTACTTCAGCTGATGCAAATAATGGATTTGGCTCCAAAAAATGAGGTATGTATTCTATCAATGATTTATATAAAATGAGGGTTTAGAAATCCGATTGTATTGTGTGTTTGGTTTGCATCTCTTTCGTTTGGTTCTTGTTGTGACTGTGTATCCATTAATGAGAAAGAAATTCTTGAATGCTTTGTCTCAGATTGGTTTAATGTGCATTGTAAATGTGCTCAGTTTGTACTTGTTGTTGTGTTGATGTGTTGCTTAAACTATATGGCTGTGTTGCTCAAACTACATTATTGTTGTTGCTCAAACTATATGACTGTTGTTGCTTAAACTATACTTCTGTGTTGCTCAAACTATATCACCGATTTTCTTCTTCAATGAATCCATTTTAGCCACCATCTGGTTTCATAGACCTCCTTAACAGTCAATCAAATTCTATTCCTTTGAAAACTGATTCACCAAGTATCGATGAATCAGTCCCTCTCTCTAACACTCAATTCTCTCAATCTCCAATGGTGGCTGACAACACAAGGAAGAGGATTAAGTGGAAACCAAAAGAAGATCGGGTTATGATCTCTGCTTGGCTTAATACAAGCAAAGATCCCATTGTAGGGAATGAACAGAAAGGAGAGGCCTTATCGAAAAGAATTGCAGCCTACTTTGGTGCAACCCCTAGTGTAAGCAATCCATTGTAAGCAAAGGTGGGGGAAAACAAATGATTGTGTGTGGCTGGTAGTTGGCTGGTAGTTGGCTGCCATGAGGCTGCAACAAACCAGAAGGCTAGTGGGCAGAATGACAATGATGTGATGATACTTGCCCATGAAATCTTCTTCAATGATTACAAGTAAAGGTTCATTTTGGAGCATGCGTGGAGAGAACTTTGCCATGAGCAGAAGTGGTGTGCAACATCAAAGGTAAAGAAAAACACTGGATCGACTAAAAGAAGGAAAGTTTCTTATGGGTTTGAAGTGTCTTCCAGCTCAACGGCAATAAACGTTGTAGAGTATGAAGCTGAACCTAGGCCTTATGGAATCAAAGCTGCAAAGGGGAAACGTAAGAGGACATCAACTACTAAAAGAGAAGGGAAGTCTCTGTTGGATTCCAAGAACATGTGGGAGACAAAACAAAAAAGCCTTTGTTTTGCAAGACAAGTTAAACAAGCAGAAACTGCCTGTAGTCTTGTACTCAAAACAACTCCTTTAAGTGCAATGAAAGAAGCTCTAAAAGAATCTCTAATCAGTGACTTGTTGGCATCAATTAGAAAGTAAAAAAAGTTTACTTTCTAGGTTACAAACATTAGAAACATGTCTTTTTTATGTTTTTGTTGTGACAAGGATTAGAAACATGTTTGTGTTTGTTGTTTGTTCCTTTTATCGACTATGTATCAGTTTTTGTGTCCACAAGCATTAGAAACATATTTGTATGTGGCTTGTTGTTCCTTATATCGGCTATGTTTTGTGTTTATACTGTTTTCTTTGCTTATGTATTGTCTTACATTTTGAAATCTAATAAATGTATACTTTGGCTAGTTTACTTCTATATGTGTTTGATACATTTTATATGTGGTTGTTACTGATGGATATTATTGTTGTTACTTCTATATGAATGTTATTGTACTATGACTTGTTGCTCTGTTTAAAGTCAGTTATCGAGTTTTGTTAAGTAAATAGTACCAATGTGTGTTGTGTTTTGACATGTCTGATGGTATAATTATTAACTTTTTGTAACAGTATTGTTTTTGTGTTTCATGTGTTTTGGAGACTTCACCAAAGCTAACAAGAGTTCACGAACCAAAGTGATAAAGAAGAGTACACACACAAGAATTCACGGGTGAGATAAGTTGAAGGATAAGAGTCACAAGACAAGAAGTGAACGGCTGAGATAAGTTGAAAGACAAGTCACAAGAGTTCACAGACCATTTTGTATTTGTGGTTATTATTCATTCACCACATATGTATTGTCTGTATTATGCACGTCACAAGTAATCAACACAAACCAACACCACAAGAAATTCTTCTATATTAACACCATCTATGAGACACATGATCACTTATTCCAACTTCTCTTTCTTATTTCATTTTTTTCCAACTTCTCTTGGTTCCATCTAAATTTTTTCTGTTTACAAGTTCATTTTCTCTAAATATTACCAATAATTTTCAAAATTTGTTTACAACAAAATGTCTTCTTCTTCTTCTTCACATAATCTCCAAGATATGATGAACGACACATTTAATCAAGCATTTAATCAAGCTTTCGACGATCATATCGAAAATTATGGTGATCATCAAGAAACAACCAAGAAGAAGAAAAAAACGCGCCTATATTGAAAGAGATCGTGAACAAGGAAACATCTGGTATGAGAAGATTATTTCAAAGAAGGTGCAACGAATCCACCTAATATAGGTACAACGTATTGTTGCAATGTACCAAAGAAGGTCCAACGTATCAAGAAAACATCCTAGCACTTGTTCATTCATCTTGTTTATTGACTATCTAATGAACTACTGTTTTTTCAACAAAGACAAGATGCTATCGGAAGGTTGGGTCTCTCTGCACTACAAAAGACAACAGCCGCCATTCATATGTTGGCATACGGTACTGCAGCAGATGTGGTTGATGAATACTTGCGAATTGGTGTAACCACTGCGCTTTCATGTTTGGAACATTTTGTTGAAGGAATCATACAACTGTTCGGAGATGAGAATCTAAGAAAACCGACACCACAAGATCTTCAACGACTACTGAATATTGGTGAGATACGTGGATTTCCTAGGATGATAGGAAGCATAATTAATGTATTTATTTTCTTGTATGTTTTTTTTATATATTTGCTTCTATGTAATGTTTTTTAAAAGACATGTTTATTTAAGAAATAATTTTTAAACCCCATCACAAATTCTTCATCTCAATTTTTTCAAAATTTATACTAAAAGCCTTGCAAAGAACCTACAAAGGGTCTCTCCCATTGTGGATGGTCTTAAATAACCAAACCCCAAATAGCGATCCTAGATCATCGCCCTCTTCCTCGCCTTGATTCAATGATCACATTTTATCTTTACCTACATCACAAAAACAGTGAGATGCGTGAGTCTTATCACAAATACTCAGTGAAGCGGTCCGCCCATCTATTGGGTTATACACAGAGACATATTAAGACAATCAAACATGCATAAGATCAATCAAAAGAACCAAACCAGGCATCAACACACACCTACTATTCGTTGATCAGAAAAATTGCAATCAAGAAAACTGTCACACAAGATCCTGCCACATAAACCTCTAGAAACCCTCCAGAACCTCTCCTTAAGCCTCGGGAACAAGCTAACACACAACTCTCTCTCTCTTTCTCTCTTTTTTGCTTTCAAAATTGTCAAAAGCCAAGAAGTGAGAAGAAAGTGGCTGCCCTAGAGTCTTATGTCGAGAGTAGGGCTTTCCCTAAACCAATTCTGATTAAACCGACGATTTAAAAACCGCTCAAACCAAAATGTTAGGGTGTCGATCGATATTACTCAAAACTGAGCACAGGTGTTACATGTTGTCACCATTCGGATCCGAATGTTGAAAACTACAGTCTTAGGGTCCAAATGGTGAAAAAGTATTTGACAATGCGAGAGAAGCAGTTTTAATATGCGGTAGGGTTGACCTGCTTTATTTAGGAAAAATAAATTTGTGGGACAAGTGTGGTTTGCGGATTTTTTTGGACCCTTATGTAATTCATGCTTATATATGTTGATTAATTCCGCAAATCTAAAAAAAATATTTCAAAAAATGCTAATTAGAAGAAAATTGGGTTAAATGGTAACATATGTGCGTACTTGCGGTACATGAAGAAAAATACCCCGCTTTTGTGTTCACCATGCCTTAGTTATCATATTTACTTACTACACTTACATACTACTTTAAAAATCTTTATATACGATATTTATATGATTTATATATGTAAAAACTACACAAATTCAAAACTATATATATATATATATATATATATCTCGAAAATTGAAATCATTAAAGTAAACTAAAGTCTTGACTCTATCATTTACTTTAAAATATTTTAATTTCATATTTTATTGGGATAAAGTGTAAACATTTTGTTTAGTATTTTTTTAAAAAGAAAGTAAGTAGTTTTAATAAATATTGATAAGTAATTTTGAATTTTGATGCATTTTTTTAGTATACCTTTAAACATTGTTTTTTTAGGACATATTATAAACTTAAAATTTGATTTTTTTTATCCGTAAGAAAGACCCAAAAAAACCAAAAAAATGTTTTGTACCTTATTAGAGCCGGCAAAGGTTTTGAAATAAAGTTTTGGATATTTTTTGGATCGGGCTCAAACAGATGCAGGTTGTAAGGGTTTCAGGTTAGTACGGGCCGATCCAGCCCGGTCTAATATTAATCCATGTTAAAATTGAGATAACTTTTTTTTCAACAAATGAGCCAATCGGTGGGGCAATTGTTTACGAACTATGTGATTTATTCATAATGATACAATGAAATGTAAAATAATCATTGTAATTAAATTGCAGTATTAGTTCGACATAAATGTGACTATCGCATTACTTATGGTTGATATTAATTTTTTGTATCATTTTTAAGTGATGTTAATATAAATTAATAATGTATATCTATTATTAAAGTGACGAATATACTTATGTCCATTATATGTCCATTAGAATATTCTAGATACTTAATCCATAACCTAAACCCTAATTATGTATTCCTATATATCTATATATATAAAGTTAGCTTTTTCTCTCTTCTCATGATGCCACCTAAGCATCCACCTAAGCCACATTTTTGTTTAAACATTAAAATAAATTTAAAACATTCATTTAGTGCATATTTATGTTACTTATTTAATTAATAGAAAGTTTATATAAATAAAAATAAATTATGTAAAAATGAAATATTAAAATAAGAAAAACAATACTTTAATTTTGTTATTAGTGGTAATAATATAATTCAACTTTCATTTTAAATTGATCATAATTTAATATTTTAAATATGTTACTGAGTTTTAGAATATAAGTAAAATTTAAATTTATGGTAGACTAAAACAACATTTATGTAATTGTATATATATAATTATAAAGAGGAAAAATAAAATGAAAGTGAAATATTAGTTTATAACATGATCAAAAAGAAAAAAAATGATATTTTATAAATTGAATCAAATGCTTTTAATCCAAATTTGAGTATTGAAAGATAATAATTAAAGAGAAAATAATTATAATATTTTTGAAAATCAATTAGAAAAATAAAAAATATCACAATATGAATAACAAATCAACGAAAAAAAATTATAAACCTCCCGCGCGGAGCGCGGGTCAACTGCTAGTATGTTATACTTTATGGTAATAACAAGAGAACGATTCCCCTAAACCCCTTGTACTTAACACGTGATGCTTTAGTATGTTATTCGTTAATTTGATATTCTGCTTGTTTTATACTAACGTGGATATATGGAGAAGTTGTACAATAATATGTATGGAGATATATTATATATGTCTGAATTGTGCTAGTAATTTTTAGATTAAATTTGGGTTAATTATTTTGAGCTCACCATATGAATTGTTTTCCATTATAACTGCAGCAATCAAGATATTAAATATATTTATGTTATAGGTTAATTAAACTTTTCTTATTCCATTGAAGTGAAGGAATTGGGCATATGGTTATTAGCCAAAAATCTTGAGAGTAAAAGAATCAAACCAGATTGGCGGAACCAAACCGAACCAATTTTTTGTTTTGCGTTATAACTGCAGTAATCAAGATCTTAAACATTTATAGTTCAATTAAACTTTTCTTATTCCTTTGAAGTGAAGGATTTGGGCATATGGTTATTAGCCAAAAATCTTGAGAGTAAAAAAATCAAATCAGATTGCAGAACCGAACCGAACCAATTTTGAGGTTTATGAGGTTTCTAATGACATCTCCATCGAGATAAGTACTATTTTCCTACGTTATCGAGTAGCAAACTAATAAGCAAAATATGATTGCGTGATCATGTCTTATGGTTGATAGAAATGATTGAACTTAATTACGATGTTGTCATCTACTAATTTGTCATTTGAAATAATTAAGTGATTAATTAAACAACTAGTTTAATTGCATAAAGTTCAGAACTAGTATATAGCCTTGGGGTATATAGTGATTAAACTATAAATCAACATATTGATCAACTTTTTTTTTTTTTGACAACAAATCAACTAGATTGACTTAAGAAAGCCAATTGGGAGGACAATTGTTTACAAACTTAGCAACATGCAGTAAAACTCGGACCTTCCAGGCCAGCAAATCCGCAACAATGTTTGCACTCCTCGGTATAAGAAAAAGAGAAAAAGTATTGAATTCTTCCCTATTAGTCTTGATGTCATTCAGATATACAGAGAATGCCGGCCACTCAGAAGGAGAAGACACCATCTTCACCAAATCGGAACAGTCCGTTCGAAAAACTACATCTCTGAAGTCATGGCCAATCATACATCTCATTGCCCACACGAAAGCCTCTACTTCTGAATGAAGAGGGGAAAGGCTTCCTCGGAGGTTTGATGCCCCCATAGTCGTGCATCCATCCTGAGTGTGCTGACAGTACCATCCTATGCATGAATACTTATCCGTATCTTTCCAAGATCCATCAATAAAGCACATGTAACCAGAGGGGAGAGGCGGTATATGAGAGACCCGATTGCACACCCGTGAATTAACACCCAAGGGTTCTAGAGCAGCATTCTCATCGTCAATCTGAGCCGCCTACAATGCATCAAATTGGCTATCCCATGTCGCCCAACATTGAAGATAATCCATATTCGCATAGATAGACGGTGTTGGAAATTGGTTAGGTCCCATGGGCACTTGGGCCAGCGCCCAAGATTGGCGTGCCGGTGGGCATTTAAAGATAGCATGATTTACCGACTCTTCGTGAGCACCACACCTAGTACAGATTGGCGCAATTAATTCCCTGTTTATATAGGTTGAGAGAAACAGAAATACACCCAATAATTAGCTGCCACATAAAATGTTGGATCTTTGGTGGACACCGTATTTTCCATATTCTTGCAATTATGCAAATAATATCAGGACCATACACCGGTTCTATACCATGTTTTGCATTAGGCATCCGCGCTGTATAATTTCCAAACTTAACCGAATATTTTCCATTCTTTGTAAAATGCCATCCTACCATAGATGTCCTTATAGAACTATCTATAGGGAGGGAACTTATCAAAGCAACATCACGAGAGTAAAAATAGCATCCAACACACCTACTTTCCAGGTATTTAACTGCTGATCAATCAATTGTCGAATTTGTAAAGATGGATCCATAAGCGATCCATTATTTAAAGCCGGTCTAGGGAAGTGAGCTGGGATGGTGTCACCCTTTCCAACCTGTTTTGATAAGTCCTCTATTAACTAGAGAGCGAGCTGAGATAATACTTCTCCATCCATAAGAAGGGGAGTATGATCTTATTGGGTCCATTGGACTTGCCAATCTATAATACCGACTTTTTAAAAACCTTCGCAAACAGTGAATCAGGAAACTCCATAAGTCTCCACAGCTGTTTCGCGAGGAGTGCCGTATTGAAATCATTAATATCCCGAAAGCCTAGACCACCAAGCTTCTTGCTTGAGCACATTTTCTCACAAACCCTCCAATGCATACCTCCTGATTGGCCATTCGTATTTCACCTGTAATTAGCCACCGCGCTTGTGAGCTTAGATGTAACTGTTTTTGGGAGTCTGAAACAGGACATGACGGACGTTGGTAAAGCAGATGTGATTGACTTAATCATTATCTTCCCCCCCCCCAT